AGTTGTGAGTCCCTAATAAAATGATTTTTTTTAAAGTTCTCCACCAAGTTTAAAAAATTCTAATTCAAACGAAGAGCCAGATAATCCAGGAATACGAATTCAATGCAGTAAAGACCTACAGTATAAAGTTCTGTTGACAAGGTTTAAGATTTGCTTTCTGCCTGTCAGCTCAGATCAGCTATTTGAGTCTTTCCCGTCCAGCAAGACAAAACAAGTTCCCCTGAATGCCTGACTCACTCAAAGCTCCCCCTGGTTTAACACTGAGAGTAATCCGTTGCGCTCCAAAAGAGTCTCCACTTTTAGCAACCATTACAGCAAAATCTTCAGTAAAGTTCAAATCTTTTAATCATTAGCCAAACGCTGGAATAGGCTGCACTAGAAAAGACACTGGTGCTTCTTGTACCCATTCAGAATTTAAATGAGATCTCAAGAAAGATTTTCACATATGCCATTCACTGAGACACAAAACACTTTCTGGTGGCATACGAGGTCCCACAATGGTGGTGAACCGTGGTGTCCGTGCCCCTTTCTCTCCCTCTAATGCTATCTTACTGGAGTATTCCTTAGAACTCTTAAAATGCTACTAGGTATCGGTTTCGGGGCTCTGCAAGCTTCCTTTTCTGTAACCTAACCTCTGGGATGACTTCTGGTCACCAATACTAAGTTGGTAAAGCAGATAACAGTTGTATGCCCCCAGCCAACAAATGTTCTGAAAATATTTCATCGCTATGATTAAAATATTAAATGGTATGTTCCCTGAAACATTTATCACTTTGTTATCATTTGTTCCCAGTACCTGAATCTATAGTAAATAGTCTAATGTCTATATATTCTGTAGCAGCAGCAGGTAGGGTTCCAAGCATTTGATATGCATTATCTCATGTAATACTGTTTTGTAGATGAAGAAATTCACAGTTTAGTTAAGCAGTTCTTCAGGATAATATACCACGTAGGATGCAGAATTAGGATTTAAATCCTACTCCAGAATTCAACTACTCAACAATTAGCAGAAACCAAATCTATCTTAATCTTATGGATCAATTCCAATGGCTTTCAATAAAGGTGTGATCCAGATTTGAATTATATACTAAAGCAAATAAGAATGATGAAAACTAACAGGAAAAATAGACAAACCAGAGGATGGACCAAATACCTTGGTTTCTGGTGTAATTGCTTCCTCTAACAATTTGATTTTGGAACAATCAACAAAAGAAATCTTCAATCCAAAATCAGCTGCCACCTGCCTGAAGTATCTGTTGGTACCTAAGGCAGAAGAGAATCAGATCAATTAGAGAATACTGTTCAGTATTAAGAAATGCTCATTCCTGACAGGTGTAAACAGCTTCAGATGTTAAGGTCTTCTCTCTCTGTCTACTAAAACAAAATTAAGGGCAAGTATAGTTTGGTTATTAAATAGTTTGGCTCTCTCGCATAGCCAAGAATATAAGGTTTGAATTTTAAGTTCAACGTTCAACAGTCAAATAAAACATACCAACATCTACATGGGGCAGAAAATGCTTCTCAAAATACATTCAGGGATGTGTGACCGAGCTGACCCCACCACACTGAGGCAAAACACTAAAGGCATGCAATAGAATGGTG